TTCTTTTTCGTAAATTATTTGTTGATTCATTATCACTATGCGCAGTTCCTGAAAGAGGCTGGAGCAGAATTTGACATTGCCTACACCAGTGTCCTCAAACGGACAATCAAAACACTGTACCAGATTCAGGAACAGCTGGACTGCCATTGGCTGCCAGTGGTCAAGTCATGGCGTCTCAATGAGCGACATTATGGAGCTCTTCAGGGTCTGAACAAAGCGGAAACAGCTCAAAAGTATGGGGATGCTCAGGTCAAGGTCAGTCATTCTGATTTAAATAAAGCGGTTTTAGCATTTCCTCTTCAAATCAGCCATAGGCCATTTATGCCAAATCTTCAGCAGTGGAGCCACTAGCTTTCTTCGTTAATAATGATATCATCCATATACATTTCCCTGTCTGTTCTGGGGCTCTATCATGGGGAAAACAAGAATAAATCCACTGCCTTCATAACAAGCATGTCGTAAGAGTTCTTCCTTCAAAGTCAAGAGTGATTCTGCCTCAGAGACAAGGAACCAATAGTCTGCATATAGATAAGCCAGATCATTAAAACGGGTGTGCATGCAACACTCAAGTTGTGGAACAAGGACTAAAGTACGGAAGTAGATGAACAACCAGAATACTCCACTTAAGGTAACAGCCGATGAGAGTAAAGAAGAAGAAAATCCATACACTTTGCAGTTTTCAATACTATCTTGAATATAACACTGATGATAATGGTTTTAAGTTTGCAAGGGAAGAGTGTTACAACTATTAAATCAGAAATCTTGCTTAGGTTATAAATGAGCAGTTACATATTGCTCTGCCGGGTATTGAAGACTGATGGTAATGATGATGGTGATTCTAACGATATTGATTCTAACGATATTGATAATTGATGGTGGCAGTGATAACGATAAGGTTGGTGACTTTGATGTTGATGACGATGATGACATTGATCATAAGGACATTGATGATGGTGGTGGTTATAAGGATGATGATGATGGCATTGCAATTTTTTTTTTTTTTTCAAGTATTTTAAAACCATGAGTTGTTAACCCTTTGGCTCGGTACTATGGATATCGCAACCCTTCGGCCTTGATTCCATGATAGGTACCATAAATCTGGGAGAAATGTAGCTTTTCTGCCTACCCCGGGTCTTGAACCCGGACCACAAAGAGTTTGTCATCTGGTCACCACGAAGTCAGGTTTAACCAACTACGCTGGTGAGCCCGGCTGTGGCATTGATCATAAGGACATTGATGATGGTGGTCATGATAAGGATGATGATGATAATGGCGGTAATAATGATGATGATGTCATTGATCATAAGGACATTGATGATGGTGGTCATGATAAGGATGATGATGATAATGGTGGTAATGATGATGATGTCATTGATCATAAGGACATTGATGATGGTGGTCGTGATAAAGATGATGATGATAATGGCGGTAATGATTATGATGATGATGTCATTGATCATAAGGACATTGATGATGGTAGTCGTGATAAGGATGATGTTGATAATGGTCGTGATAAGGATTATGATAATAATGGCATTGATGATGAGGGTGGTGATAAGGATGATGCTGATGATGGTGGTAATAATGATGATGCTGATGATGATGGTAATAATGATGATGCTGATGATGATGGCATTGATAATGGTGGTGGGGATTAGGATGATGATGATGATGATGAAGTCATTGATCATAAAAATCTGGATGATGGTGGTGGTGATGAGAATGTTGCCATTGATGTCTGATGATGGTGGTGATTACATTGATCAGGATAAGGATACTGATGTTATCTATGATAATTATGGTGGTGACCCTAATAATAATGATGATGGTGATAGTGACACTGATATTAATGATGTTTTTGACACTAGGGATGTTGCTTAGCATATTAATGTTGATAAGGATAAATTGGTTATGATAATAATGTTACAATTCTTGATGATCACAGCCAGCCATTACAAGGATTGTGTTCACCCAACTGCTTAAATTGATAAATGGAATGGGATTTGGGGAAATATTCCCACTAGATAAGTCACAGTTTTGAGAATTAACGGCAGTTGGACATAGTACAAGAAGCACTAATTTAATATGTGTCTCATTGGTTTTATTACAAAAATAAGAAAAAGGTCATCAACAGATGTGACAGAATTAAACAAAGTATTCATTTTGAATGACTTATGCATCATGAACTGGTCACAAAAGTCACTGTATGCATTTAGGCCAGCGTCCTATTGTAGGTTTTAACCCGAGTGAATGCACCCTGTATTTTATTCTCTTCTCTTTACTTAAAGATGTAAGCTGGAGATTAAAGTAATTCTTGCTGGTTCAGCATTTAAGTTAAGAAATGGCACAAAAACATGAGTAGAGAGTTACTGAATTACTGACCAGGCACTGAAATAGGAAACAAATTGAGAAAACAAGGACATAAAAGAGAAACCCTAAAAGGAATGTTGATGAAAGAGATTAAAGAAGTTAGACTGGATGGTGCAAGTAATGTTTACCACTGCAGAAAGAGTGACTTTCCTTCCCTTTCATGCCTCATCAGGTCGCAGGGCCTCTTCTATGTTGCAGGGGTGTCATGAATTCCTTGTTGTCAAAGCTTAAACTGTTCTCTCTTTTCTCATCTTCTCACCGCTCACTTGCATGATTATTCTCAAATTCTTCTACCTGCAAGACGGTTTGGGAGCATGGAAAATGTGATGTTTTTCTGCTCCTACGTACGTTGTCAGTGCCTTCTTTGTCTCGGAGGGAAGCCACTGCCAATGAACATAAAAATACAAAAACATCCCAGTTTGGATACTCATGAATCGTCCACCTTCAGCGCTTCCCCTTCAGTACTTCTTACTTGTACACAGGCGCCTGTGGCGACTGAAAGAGGCTTACAACAACACAGCCTCCCAAAGCATTATATACGCCTAGTGAACACTGAACCAAGCCATATCATAACACCCCTGCAACATAGGATAGGTCCTGCGACCCGACGAGTTATGAATGGGAAGGAAGTTACTCTCTTTCTGCGGGGACAAAATTTACTTGAACTGACTGGATTCCATCCATAGTATAGAGTGAAGGCATAGACTGTGTGCCTTATGTAACAAATAATGCCCCAACATGATGATAATGAATGGCATGAAAGTCATACACACCATCATTAACATGTGAAAGACTGAGTGTTAAGGAGATCAGTGGTGATGTTCTAGATGTCAGGCTGTTGCCCAGCTGGCCATCTTCATCATTCTTGTTTGAATGAGTATTCCTAGTTTTAGGGAGAAAACAGAATGGACTCACTGCCTTCCTATCAAGCGTGTTGTAAAAGGCAACTGACGAGGGATTGTTTTTCCTCCGAAGTCAGAGCACCTCTGCTGGGGAGGTGAAGAACCAGCAATCTGCATACAAATAAGCAGATCTGTAAAACGGATGTGCACGCAGAATTCAGGTTTTGGAAGTGGGTAAACAACCTGAACTTTCCACCATAGTTTACAGCCTGTGAACGCTAAGAAAAATTAGAATGAGTATTAAGTGAATGAGTATCTGCCATAAGGACATGAGGGAGTGAGTATCTGCCATTGTATGTTTACCTGTTATTATTTATTGTACTGTTTTTTGTGTTGTATACCTTTTCTTACTTTGTATTGTAATTTTTTTAAACAGCTCTGGCGGCGATCATTTGATGTACGACCGCCACCTATGGAGAAAACAGACCCCCGCTGGCCTGGAAATTACAGACATTATGCGGTAATATATTTGCTACTGTTTCTTGGTGGTAGTGTATCATTTTCATTGCATGTCAGAGAGTACTGAAGTGAATCAACCAGCCAAGATTTAGGGAAGTTCTAGAACAAATGAAAGATCTTTAATTTCTAAACCTCACAAACTGGGCCTGTAAAACACTTATCCTTCACACAGCAGTTGAAGAAGAATCATGAAGAATTGAAAAAGAATTGAGAATTTAAGAAGAATCGTGAAGAATTGAAGAAGAATCGTGAAGAATTGAAGAAGAATCGTGAAGAATTGAAGAAGAATCATGAAGAATTGAAGAAGAATCGTGAAGAACTGAAGAAAAATCGTGAAGAATTGAAGAAGAATCGTGAAGAATTTAAGAACAATCATGAATTGAAGAATTGTGAAGAATTGAAGAAGAATCATGACGAATGAAAGAAGAATAATAATTCTGAATTTCCGGCATTCCTTCAAAAGTCCATAAATGGATGAACAACCAGAACCTTTTGCTGGAGTTTTTATTTATAACCCATGAGCGCTAAGATGGAGGATGAGTTCATTTGCTTCACTGGGAGAATAAGGAGGAGTTCATTTGCTCCACTAGGATTATAAGAAGGAGTTCATTTGCTTCACTGGGAGAATGAGGAGGAGTTCATTTGCTCCACTGGGAGAATGAGGAGGAGTTCATTTGCTCCACTGGGAGAATGAGGAGGAGTTCATTTGCTTCACTGGGAGAATAAGGAGGAGTTCATTTGCTCCACTGGGATAATAAGGAGGAGTTTATTTGCTGCACTGGGAGAATGAGGAGGACTTCATTTTCTCCACTTGGAGAATAAGGAGGAGTTTATTTGTTGCACTGGGAGAATAAGGAGCAGTTCATTTGCTCCACTGAGATAATAAGGAGGAGTTCATTTGCTCCACTGGGAGAATAAGGAGGAGTTCATTTGCTTCACTGGAAGAATAAGGAGGACTTTGACTTCATTTGCTCCACTGGGAGTATAAGGACTTTGAGTTCATTTGCTCCACTGGGAGAATAAGGAGGACTGTGAGTTCATTTGCTGCTCAAGGAAAATAAAAGAACACAGTAAATAAGAAGAAGAAGAAGGTGATTGTAGTAATTCAGCTTTTGGACCTAGCTACCTTCCAAATATACACAGCAAGTCACATACTAAAAGTAATGTTGTTAAATATAGTTTGTGCAATACATAAACACATTTTTTATTGTAATGCTTTTTTTAAAATTATTTTCATGAAATAACAAATCTGTTAAGAAATATTTGATGATGTTTCAGCGGGAAGATCTAGGCATGATTCCGTCCAGTGAAAGTTTGAAAGACACTATAGAACGCACACTTCCTATGTGGTATGATCAGATTGTGCCTGCTATGAAAGTAAGGTTTTGTTTTGTACTTTTGTTACAGATTCATTATAATCATTTTAGAACAAAATCATTTATCCATGCTTTGATATTCTCTCTGTCTGTCTCCGTCTATTTCTCTCTCGCACGCGCGCACACACACACAAATATACTCCCTAACATATTCACATACACCTGAATACACACACTCACACATGTGCAAGAGAAAGAAAACACCAGACACACACATATTCATGCGCACACGCACACTCAAAGGGAAGAAAGAAACTTTCTGGTTCCAGGATGGCAGCTAACAAAAACGGAGACAGTTTTAATTGTTTTTCATTCATTCATTGTTCTTCTGTGCCGTTATATGCCACACTGGGCCCGCAGTCTGTTTTTCCATTCCATTCTGTCCTGTGTAGTCACTTCGATCTAATGGATGGACTCCACTCATTGACTATTGCTTCTCTGATCAGTATTTGCTTTAGGATATCTCTCGATTGTCCTCAGTTTCCCATTTTAGTTACTGTTGGATGATTTTCTGTTTGTTTCATCTCTTCTCATAACATATCCAGTATCTTCTCTGTCTTATAATTGTTGATATTAGTGGTTGCCCAGACATTTCTCTTGTTACTTCACCCTTCTTTAATTCATCCCATTTAATTTCAATATTTCCCCCAATCTTTTGTTTTAGAACGCATTCCACTTTCATTCCACGTCTTTAGTAGTTCTCCAACTTTGACTGGCTTGGCAAAACTGAAACAACAATAGAATTGAAAAGAGATAACTTGGTTCTAAAGCTATATAATTCTGAGTTCCATGTTTTGTGTAAGCTATTAAAAGCACAATTTTAGTTACTGCTCTTTAAATTGGCTTGCAGTGTGTACAAGGTAGTGCTAGATTTCTGTTGTAGAATGAAAAGTATATTTGGGACATATGTTCGATTAGCAAACAGGATGCAACTCTTTAGGTCACAGGGATGTCAAACCTTTAAGTGACAAACCCGAGTGGAAAAACTGGGAGTATGTCTAGCTTTTACCTTAGTTACAGCAAAAATTAGGAAATCTGAGGGGGAAAATAAACTAACCACCCATAATGCCAGTATTAACCATTTGCTTTTAAGCAGCATAAAGAGTTTCATAGCACGGTAGAAAAATAAACTAGGCAGCTTTCTTAGGATGGAAAGGGGGGGGGGGGGAATTTTTTTTTAGAAGTACTGCACTCAAGAACTTGGTTACACAGTTGGCAAGGCTGATGGAAAAAGAACAAGAGAAAGGCAAAGAAATAAATACCTGGATGGCTTGATTATGTGGATGGGGTGAATGCAGTAACCTGTTATGTGGTTCAGGTATGTATGAGATGCCGATACGTGACCTGTTTATCAGCAGGGTACCCAACAAGAGAAGAAATACTGACATTTTAGAAGGTCTGAACATCAAGGAAGATTGGCTAAAAAACAGCATCTTGTCTCAAGAGCTGAAATATTTGTGTCATATCAAGCACTGTGGCGGTTTTAAAAAAATAATAGCAGAAGGTATGGTACCAGGAAGGAGGGACAGGGGTCGACTAATACCAAGATGGGGACAGGATATAAGTGACTCTTTCGATATGAAAGTACACAAGGAGGGAGAGCTGGTGGGAGACCGAGTTTCTTTCAGGCAGTCTGTGATGAGAGCGACATTCTGCAAAGGACGTGCTACATGATGGTGATGAAACACGATGATGATGATACTGATTAAAAGCATAATTGACTACAGCCAGGTAACCTTTCATTCTTTAATTATTTAGTTTACTTTCTTTCTGTCCCAGACACTTTTAAACATAACCATTTCTGTCTATTCATTGACAGCAAGGGAAAAGAGTGTTGATTGTTGCCCATGGCAACAGTCTGAGAGGATTTGTCAAACATTTGGACAAAATATCAGATGAAGACATTGTCAGTCTAGAGATTCCTACAGGTAAGGCGGTCTTCTTTTTCTGCATTTGACATCCGCAGTTCTAAATATTTAGTTTTACCTCTTCGCAAACACCTACAAACTCCCAAGTTTGTCTTGCAGTGTGACTCTCATTGGGCCAGATCCCCAGCATGTGCCAGTTGTAGTTAGGGCAATCCTGCAGTACATGCAGCTGATTCTGTCTGTCTGTTCCTCATTCACAGTTGTAGTTAGGGCAATCCTGCAGTACGTGCAACTGATTCTGTCTGTTTGTTCCTCATTCACAGGTGTAGTTAGTACAATCCTGCAGTACATGCAGATGATTCTGTCTGTTTGTTCCTCATTCACAGGTGTAGTTAGTACAATCCTGCAGTACATGCAGCTGATTCTGTCTGTTTGTTCCTCATTCACAGTTGTAGTTAGGACAATCATGCAGTACATGCAGCTGATTCTGCCTGTCTGTTCCTCATTCACAGGTGTAGTTAGTATGATCCTGCAGTACGTGCAACTGATTCTGTCTGTTTGTTCCTCATTCACAGTTGTAGTTAGGACAATCCTGCAGTACATGCAGCTGATTCTGCCTGTCTGTTCTGCATTTACAGGTGGCAGATTCTTTGATGCCTTTTTTGCGTGTGGTGCTCTGAGACCACAGTGTCCTGTCTGAAACCTATAAATCACTGTTTATTCTTTCCTGTTGTTTGTTTATGCCCTTTTTCTCTAGTCTGTAGTCTCTATTCTACCTCTCCAATCCTCAGTGACCCTCCGGTCCACAGTGAGAGCAAGGTTCTCTGTTGAATTTTCATCTCTGCATCTTCTATAGTTATTATCCCTGGCACTTCTAGAACTACATTTGCCTTGCCTGGATTGTTTGTCCAGACTTCTCATCTAAGCTTTTAACACAGTACAGCATCACTTTCTAGCAGATCTTGGTGCTGCATATATAGTTTTCTAGAAAGGTGGCTGGAGTTCTGAAGCTTAAGTCTGTATTTGTTTTGCTTTTTAATGCTGTCTTTGAAATTTATAATTCAGTTAAACCATGTTTATAGGTTCCTACTGGTAAGGGATATCACTGTTTCTGGCTGTACAGGTTACTGATAGTTATGGGGATTGTCTCTGGTTTAATTATTTGAAAAAGAGGTGTGGTATGTGATTAGTGTATTGAATGTTACAATTTTAAAGATGTGAAGAACTATCCAAATGGTATTTTGTGGGTAAAGTTTAACTACCAGTCTATTAACCCTTTTAGCACGGGAAGTTTTTCAGAGGTCTAGCCAAAAACACAGAGCATTTTTTCAGTGAATTTGGTTATTACTTTATTTAATTTTTTTGACAGATTTCTGTTATTCTGACCCCCATGAAATAATATCTCTATTTGAAGGATATAGATTGAAGTTCATGATTTTTACAATATCGTTAAAATTAATTGATGTATATGCAAATTATCTCATTTGCATATCTAAAAAATAGAAAATTTGAATTTTCAACTTCAATGCTTGAAACATAAAACTAAAAACAAAATTTTTTTATTTGAAATCTTTTTATTGATTTTTGGCCTTTTTGCAAATGTTGTAAGCAATTCAATAGTCAAAAACAGGTGTATATATATATGAAACAGCAATAATATCTTTAGGTGACATGTGTTTTTCACTATCAGTCAGCACAAGAAATGGATGTGCCGGAGTGTCAACACCTTCGGGTGGATATACCCTGAGCTATGGTTGGGCTGTGACTGAACACAGCAGCGTCCCCATCTGATTCCCACTATTACTACTAACACTAAATCCTGCATCAGTATCAACAGAATTAGTGTCATCACTTGATCCAAATGTTTTATCAACATCAAGTTTAGGGGCAGAAACATACGAGTCAGACATACTTTTAGCGGTTCAGGTCACTATCTAAAAAATTCAACAACAATTTTCACTTCGATACCAAACACTCAAAAGTCGCCATGTGTAAAGCTGATACAGCAGTTAATATAAATGAATCACTTTCAGTGTTTCAAAATAGGAGATTTCTTAGCGGTATCGAGGCGCAACACGATCGGGCCGATGATCGGCCGTTCCGTGTTTTTGGCCAGACATCCGCCGGCCGATAATCGGCCCGTCCGTGCTAAGAGGGTTAAAAAATGTTGCTAGCTATTTTTTTTATTTTTATTTTTTTTTAAATTATTTATAAACATGTAAATGACTGTGAACTATTTGCTTTATGCATAGATGACTACTCTTTCCTGTACACTTGACTGGCTAGAAACTGTAGTCTTCTCAACAGGTAAAATTCCTTTGATAAAGAACTGCTTTCTTTGCACAGAGATGAAAAGGAACTACTTCCTCTACAGATAGAACTACTTTCTTTACATATGAATGATTAGGAACACTTACATGTATCCATAAATGCAAAAGAACTGTTTCTTTGATGCACGGAGGATTAGGAAAACATAAATGACTAGATACCATTTATATTTCATTTGGGTGACTAAAGACTGTTTTGCTTACACTTCAATGTCTACAGACTGCTTCTCTTACACTTCAATGTCTACAGACTGTTGCTCTTGCATTTTAATGTCTTCAGACTGTTTCTCTTACACTTCTGTCGCACGCCCACGTGGGTAAATACACTGATATAGTGAGGGTGTGGGTTTGAACCTTAACAATGCCCACCCACGTGAAAAACTGGACTATTATCTAAGCTATGTTGATCCTAGACAGTCCTGGATAGCCCAGAAAACAGCGAGTGGCTCGTTCCATGAAATGAAAGTTGCTGTACTTGTATCCACAGGAGTAGGAGAAGGGATAGATAGAGATCAAGATGAACCCACTGAGATAATATCAGGATACTCAGTTAACCCCTCCGACTGTTCTCCTCTCCTGGCATTACTTAAAAGCCCCCATCAAGTGATTTAAATATTTGTTAGCTGAAGTAAACTAATATGCACCAAGACACTTGAACCTAAGTACACAATTTACTCAACTATTTTGTAACAACATCAAACATGATTTATTTAATAAATCTGACTAAAATAAAATGAACTTGTTTAGGCTAGTAGAGTTGAGGGAGTGTGATTGATGAAATCATAAAGGTATTGGAAAGTAACAACCTTTGGACAGTTCTCGGCTTGAGACCCTGTCTATTCTTTCCAGTTTGTCGTCCTCACTGCTTTCAAGCAGGTCGTTACACTCAGACGGTCGGCAAATAATGGATGCCTACTAGTCCCTGCCCAATGTGGGAACTGTGATAAAGAAACAAGCGCATATCTGTAGTATCTGCTCTAGGTGTACACTAAGCATGTATATTATAATAACATCAAGCATGTTTATTTAAATAAAACATTTCATCTCTCCCTCATGTTCACATTCACTCCTGTCCAATTTGGAAGGGCTTATGTCTCACATTCCAGCCGTTACATCTTCAGCCTTCCTCTACACAAGTCCTGTAATGATAGTCAAGTCTTCTATGTCAGATGCCATCTCTCGTACAGACTCAAAATGACAATCAGTCAGACAGAACCAGTTCTGGAATCCATGCTTGGAACAATGGACGCGCCCAGAAAGCTAACAATATTTCTGAGGCGAATCAAATAAGAAATCTCAGGGATTTACTCTCCGGGATCAGTCTCCGCATTAGCTTCCCTGGAGTTAAACACATTTCAGTGTGTTAGCTGTATGTAATACAGATTCACATTAACCACACGTGAAAGGATTGCCAAAGTGATCTTCACGCTTGTGATTTCAAAAACATGATAGTTCATTAAATTTCAATGGTAACATCAACATTTACGTTTTACAACATTGAAACACATGTGCACAAAAAAACATTCATGACACTATCAAATAGGAAATAAAGCAATGTGACAGTGCCCTACGAGAAGGAAGAAATGTCCGCCTAGGAGTACTACAAAGTGATGAAGACACACACTTGAGTAAAAAGACAGATCTCTATCATAAATAAAATAAAGGTTTTGAAACTAATTTCGTTCTTACCTGGAAAATGAAACCACAATGCAAAAAGTTCTGTCTCAAGCTTAGGTTAAGCCCAACAGATGGCATGTGCTGGACAGAGTCTCATTTACCAGACCTAGAGTTCACCCCTTTATAACTTTTATCAAGCTCCTCCTACATTACGCCTAAAACCATTCTCATTCAAGGATGTCACAGCTCCTCCCCGTGGGTGTATATTCACTGTCAGTCAGTGACTGTACAACAATTGTTTAAATTCCCACGCTAGGATCTCCTGGTCAATTCATCTGACCAGAGCAAATAGGACAAGTCACACCTCCAGTCTACTTCACCTGTCAAGTTGTTTGCTAGCAACTCTCGGCTCACTATGTCAATAGTGACCGTCGGACCTGCCCTCGAGTTAGGTAACCTCAGGGGGAATTAAACACAATTAGTCGTTGTTATCTGCTCCTAATGGTCTGCCTAGGAGATAAATATCTGACACCAACAGATGGTGTGCAAATCTGCAGACAGTAAGTCTAAGCTTGGCCAGTCTTATCTCTGTACGTTAACACTTAACATCTCGGAAAAGTTTTAGTGTTTGATATCACCAACAGTCCAGGGGAATTAAATGTTTGTTCTGGACGCCTTACTTAGATTAAGGATGTATCCAAAACCATATTATTTCTGTATTCTTTAAAATACATAGAAATAAAAGTCCGTTGAGGAAAGACATTCTCAAGTCACCGAGCGTATTGTCACAACTTCGATGTCTACAGACTGTTTCTCTTACACTTTAATGTCTACAGACTGTTTCTCTTACACTTCAATGTCTACAGACTGTTTCTCTTACACGTTGATGTCTGCAAACTGTTTCTCTTACACTTCAATGTCTACAGACTGTTTCTCTTACATGTTGATGTCTGCAAACTGTTTCTCTTGGACTTCAATGTCTACAGACTGTTTCTCTTACACATTGATGTCTGCAGACTGTTTCTATTGCACATCAATGTCTACAGACTGATTCTCTTACACGTTGATGTCTGCAGACTGTTTCTCTTGCACTTCAATGTCTACAGACTGTTTCTCTTACATGTTGATGTCTGCAAACTGTTTCTCATGCACGTCTATGTCTACAGACTGCTTCTCTTACACGTTGATGTCTGCAGACTGTTTCTCTTACACTTTAATGTCTACAGACTGTTTCTCTTACACTTCAATGTCTACAGACTGTTTCTCTTACATTTCAATGTCTACAGACTGTTTCTTTTACACGTTGATGTCTGCAAACTGTTTCTCTTACACTTCAATGTCTACAGACTATTTCTCTTATACTTCAGTGTCTACTAACTGCTTCTCTTACACTTCGATGTCTACAGGCTGTTTCTCCTACACTTTAATATCTACTGACTGTTTCTCTTACACTTTGATGTCTACAGACTATTTCTCTCACACATTGATGTCTGCAGACTGTTTCCTTTCCAAAACTATATTACCTTGTGGATGACTAAGATTAGCTGACTGTACATTCATTTCCCAAGAAATATGTGTGCAGTTGTAACACTCAATCAATGTTGAAGGAACAAATTAATAACTCAGTCACTTGCCCTGACATTTATCCATCCTGTTCTCTGTACAGGTATTCCTTTAGCTTATGAACTTGATAAGAACTTTGATGCTGTCAGACGATACTACCTGGCATCTGATGAGGAGGTTGAGGCTGCTCAAGCTAAACTTGCAGCTCAGGGCAAGTCCAAGTAACACCAGCAGTTAGTGTGTGTCTCCAGTCATCGCAAGTGTTGTGCAGGGTTTTATATTGAAATGTTTGTCTAAATGCCTGTTGTTGATATAAAACAATTCATTACAGTCAGTCTCACTGTTATTGTTCTGGGGAATACTATGAAAGGGAAAACTGCAGTCTGAGTGTTAGTTTTTTGGGAGGGATTTGCCTTCAAGAAAATGATTTACACAGTTCTGTCTGAATGTCTATTGTTAATATAAAAGAGCACATTAGTCTGTCTGAAGTTTCTTTTGTTCTGGATGATGATGGTATGAAATAGTCAATTATTTGTTTTTGTTATGAAACAGTAGTATTATTATGGGATTTTCCAGAATACATAGTCAGTTGATGATTTAAAAAATTTTTTTTTTTTAATTTGTGGTTGAATTGCACTCTTTGTCTCTGGTTTCTTTACATATTTTGCAAACCAATGTGTGTTTAATAGCGTTCTACTTTGGATCAGTATTTGTTTAAAATTTAAAAATGTCTAATTCACTGTTAAATATTGAATTTGAGTACACATACTCACCATGTAGGTTTTAGGGCCCCTTTTGGAGACAATAAGAATAGACCCACTGGCCTGTCTTACAAGCATGTCAAAGAAGGTGACTGTTTACGGCTGTTTCCCGAGAAGTCAGAAAGCATCTGCCTGAGAGGCAAGAAAGATAACAGTCTACATACAAATAAGCCTGTTCTATAAAATGGATTTGCATGAAGACAAGACCAAAGTCCAGAACTTGACAACCAACCAGAACTTACCGCCATGAATTTACAGCCACTGAACGCTAAGAAGAGCACATAGTAAAGTAAAGATCCCTTTTTACGCCTTAGGCGCATCGGGCATATTGGAAGAGCGTCCCAAATTTTTACAGACCAATCGGCCCTGGGTGTGTAATGTGGTCAGCATTGCACGGGCCGTCTTTACTTCCCCAGGACAGCCATCCTGGTACCCATTTTAAAGAAGAGCACATACTATTTGTTAATACTGTGCAAAACTTCTTTATGGAGCCCTTAGTTTAACAGTCTAAGTGAGTTATTTTGGACATGCCTGCAGAGCGGGAGAGGATTTATAGTTGTGAGAAGTTTGGTGTCCCAGACTAACAGACTGACTAGAATGTTGCTGAATGTGCAGTACCGGCAGGCCATGGAGGAATCATTGCCTGTCTGAAACAGATTGCCAGAGAGGCAGTTGTCACTGATGTCTAGACAAACCCACACATGGTGCCATCATCAAATGTCTTCAAAAACTGAACCAGTCAACTGTTTTCATAATGTGAACACACATTTATCTAAAAGGAATTTGGCCCACATTTGTTTCACGTATGGCCTGTATACTCACATTCACAAATTTTTTGGAAATGCCCTGTAGAAAGAAACGAATCAAAATAGAGACAAATTGCTGAGAGATCTATTATCCCACCACTACCAGGTTTACACCTGGAAACCATGATCACACCCCTTGTGATCATAACCTTTGACACTCGCCGTCATGTTAAAATTGTGCTTTTTGTGCTGAATCTAGTTAAAGCTTTTAGCTCATTAATTTCTCTGTATTACTCGAAGGGAAACAACTCTGTAGTACTTATAGTAAAGTTTTGATGAATTTCTATTGTGAGCTTCCATGGCACTCACACATTAACAAAATTGTTGTCATGATGTTAAATTCTCGAAGTTAAACAACATTGTGAAGTTATGGCATTTTTTGTACACACTGAAATACGTGGTGTCTGGGAAAGTGCAAGGATTAGTGCACTTGGTAGTCAGTGGGTTATAACAACAGTAATAATTCAAGAGTGAACGAATGCAACTCCGTAAGTAATTACAGCATAACTGATATTATAATTAGGTCTGACAGGGTATTTCATTTCACATCTGTTTTAACTTTTAAATATTACAGTAGAGTCTACAACGGTATTTCAATTTCATGTTTTTAAGTTGTAAACATAAGTTTATTTGACCATGTAATGATTACATTTCACATGTTTAACTTGTGCCGGAAGTCCTGACATTCATGGACTGTAGATTGACACTAACTTAATATGTATTTCGTCCTTTTTAGGACTAAATTTTTTGTTTTTTGAAGCTCCACCCTGGCTTTTGCTGGGGCCGCAATATAGGCAGGCCATAAATATGGCCAATTGTCTGAACGCGGTTTCTGGGACCTCTCCACGGCGATCCTTATCCACATGGTTGCACTTTGTGTCATCGGGTGTTTATAGCTTGTGTGATGTCTTGATGGGGTAGAAAGTCAGTCAGTCATCGACACTAGATTAGTGTGACCATTACATAGATCCATTTATAACTTTTGAGGGGTTGAACGGGGTAAAGTGGATTTGCCCTGTTGGTATTGCCATTCAGACTGAGATAGTGTAATTTTAGGATGTAAGACCTTCAGGTAGCAGACTGGAAGGGGCAGAGAAGGGATATGGTACGCACACGTACGCACGCACATATTCACACATGTATATTATCATTTAGTATTCCTCACAAGCTGCTTGATGTAAAATGGTTTGTGTGTCATTTTATGAGCTCTGGTGATAAGTGAAGACAACCATCACAGCACAGATCCTTAGGGTCTCCGATCTCCTTCTGAACTCCTGCTACTGAACACACCCATTCTGAGCTGATTGTTCAGACACCTTGTACCCTCTGTGAAGTGCTCGTGTCTGGCTACTCCAGCTTTCACCTCCATGTCCACCAACCTGCACCTCCACTCTGCGAAGTGCTCATGTCTGGCTACTTCAGCTTGCGCCTCCATGTCCACCAGCCTGGACAAGGGTACTGAGACCTGCTTGTTGTGATCTTCTTCACGATATGCAGCTCCCATGGCATTAATGACATCACCCCAATCCATCCAGTTCAGGGCCGGTCGCGGTAACCGGATTGTCTGCCAGATAATGTGCGAGCCCATTGTCTTTATGAGCTACAATAGCCCCTGTAGCTGAAATGCTATAGAAAGATTCTCAGAATATCTTGGACAAAGAAGAGGAGAAATATTGACATATTGAAAGGTCTGAACATTAAGGAAAATTGGCCAATAAACAGCATCCTATCTCAGAGGCTGAAATATTTTGGTCATATTAAGCGCCACGATGGATTGGAAAAAATTATAGCAGAAGGCATGGTACCAGGATGAAAGGACAGGGGCCGACCGACACGAAGATAGGCACAGGATATAAATGACTCCTGAAGTATGAAAGTACATGAGGCGGGAGAACTGTCGAGAGACTGAGTTTCTTTCAGGCAGACTGTGATGATAGCGACGTTCTGAAAAGGACCTGCTACATCATGATGATGAGCTTGTGAATATTAACCAGCTAGCTTCTCAGATGATAGAGAACTGTATACATAATTCAGGTGATACAAGAACATACTTGTAATAGGCTGGTTGAACTACACCTGGATATCAGGTGAGGGAATTACATACTCATATTATGTAAAGAATAAATTAGTAAAGTTGTAGATTTCTTCCATGATGGGAAATTTACTGAGCCAGATTGCATTCCAGCAAAAGCTGTTGAAGCCAAAAACATTTTCACTTAGTAATTGCAAAAATGATTTAGCAGTATGGAAACTAAAAAAGTAGTAAGAATTAAATAGACATGGATATCTGTAACATCTGAGGAGGATATTACGTAGTTTATTCATCGGGATAAACTGATACGTTAAAAATACAGGTCTGACAGGGATAAGATACTCTTTGCCTTATCATGCATGTTAAAATAAATTGTATGGCTTCATTGTATGTTTATCATATCATTCCTCATATTCTGTGTGTGTATGCCAATATGGGCATCTAAACTTCTCAGTGATACAGTTAATTACCATAAATTACTTGTTCGCCTTTCAACACTGATAAGTGATCTCCCTACAATCTCCTTCTCTAGTATTTTTGATAAGTTGTTTCATGGACATCTGTCTGTTTAGTGCTGAAATAAAATGACAGCGTACTATAGGATTATCATAGTTTGTGAACACACGCGATCACTAGAGTCCTGGATCAGGTGTTTGCTCTTGTTTCACTTATGCAAAATGGTCATGTCATTTAGGTATTAATCTCTTGTCTAATCTTAAACATTATGTTTGCCATTAGCACCAAATCTGTTTCGACTCATAGCATACCCATTCTACCAAAAACAAATTTGTTATCTGTTCCATTAGCCAACAACCTTGCCACCTCTTCTTCTACTTATTTTTCTCTTCTGCCATTTACCTCATGGAAGTGTTGGGGTGAAATGTAAGGATCTTCAATATGGTCTTTCTAGTGTTTGCATAAGTTGATGTCTTGTCACCGTTGACATTAATTTTCAAAAAAAAATTTATTTTTACAAAGAAGAATCTCAGGTGTTTCCTTCTGATCTCCTTTACCACTTTTAGTCTCAAATCAGTGAACTTGACTGATTCTTTCTGATGTTCCTACTACCACACCTATAAATATTCACAAAGAAAATCTAATGAATACTGACTATTGCTAATGTGCCTTGCCGCTGCTGGAATTAATGCTAAACATTTAAAAGCATAGCAGATTATTGGTGATTGATACCTTCTGAGATGCATGACTATATATTTCTTTCTTCCCTGACATCAGAAACATGTGATCTCAGAATATGTCCATTGTTTTTGTTGCATCTGCCCAAACTAAATCGCCGTCTTAGTGTTCTGTTTGTTAAAATTATGGCACAAAAGTATGGAAACTTATGTTACTTACTGTTGCTTTTACTTAGCTAATCAAATGTTGTCTAACAAACTCAAAATATATTCCAGACATCTATTTTCCAGTCATATGTCTTTTATATTCATACTATAATGTTGCTCAATCTGTTGTTTTAAAATCAAATTCTTTCTGTTTCCATAAACCATGCATATTGTTTTATTGTAGGAAATGTGTTATTGAGTTTCATAACAAAGTTGTGATGTGTAATTAATGTCTCATTGTCTTTCATTACATCTTGTTTGTTGTGAATGTCTCATTATATGGTTG